CTTGTTAATCGTGCATTATGTTTCTGTGTAATTGTCTCGTAAGTAATCTGCACTCTGTTTCCTGTTAGATTGTTACGTGAGTGATTCGTGCATACTATTTTTTGATTAATTGCTTCGATTGCCGTGTTATTGTTACGTTTGTATCTAGTGCATTCTTTCTTCTGTGTGATTGTTATGTAGTTAATTCGTGCACTCTGCTTCTGTTTGATTGTTACGTTGGTACAGTGTAAGTCGCGTTTTCTGTTTTCTGTTTGATTGTTTGGTGCGTAACTCGCGCATTCTGTCTTTTTATCGGATAGTTAGGTTGAGCTTATCTGTTTGATTTTCAAAAGGGAGTAACTTTCCAAAGAAACTGTGGCGCTGCGTCGGTGAGAGAGTATAACAAGGTAATTTAGTATTATCAACTGAGTTGATGACGTAAATTGGCCACCGTAAGGAGTCTGAAAGCTGACTTTTCGAGTGTTAGCCCTTCGTCAGAGCGATTGTCTGATTGTTAGTTTGATGACTCGCACTCTCCGCTTAACGTTTTGTTGTCACCTGAGCGACATGCACACTTTGTCATGTGTCTGATGATTACGTTAGTAACCGAGTCTCGCACACCGTTTGAGATTTGGTTGTGACATTATTGACTCGCACATTCTCTTTTTGTTGCATTGTTACACGCATCACCCTAGGATTAGAACCAAAGCAACACAATTTAAAAGGATATGTCGACATTTTTGTTTATGTGTTTTGCTCCCATCTGTTGCACAGCATCTGCAGTACCCGCATATGGCCAGCGGCCTCCATCGTCCTTGTCCTGTCCTACTGTTATCTCAACACCCGGGATGAGCTGACATTGATAAATATTCCATGTCAGATATCAATTTTAAGAGATGTAACGAACCTGCCAACTTACTTCAATCAATTTTTTTTTTATCTAAAAGGAGATTAGAATCTACAAATAGCAATGCAAAATTGTTGAAATTAATGTTAAATATATCAATGTTTTAGGGACTAAACTAACCTTGGCTGCCAACACTGGAGAAATGCAACAAAGACTGAAATGAAAAAAGATGACAATATTTTTGATATGCCATTGTTGTTTTGGTTGTTTTTCATCTTTGGTACAAAATTGTACTATTGATCTTAAGGAATGAAGGAACAAGTCAGGTTTTATTTAAGGTAAAATTAGGTTAGAAATGGTGCTCTTTTGCTGTAAAATTATTTGGTTATTCATTTTAGAACATTTCTGACATTTGGTCAAATGGAGAGAATCTTTAGTATTACATCATATAAGACATATACATTAAATTTAAAATGAAATAAATGTCATTGACCTGCAGATTGAAATGAAATAAAGCAATGATTGTCACAGGTGAGCTGCAATTTAAGCAACTGCAGAAAAGAAGCCTGAAAAAATTCTGGCCTCAACAGGATTTGAACCTGTGCCTTCCTGATACTAGTTGGGTGTTACTACTAACTGAGCTACTGATCCAGCCACATGTTGGAAGCTATGCATACAGAGCTGGATAAAGGGGGTAAGTTTCTAAAGAAACTGTAGTGCTGCTTTGGTAGGAGGGTATAACAGGGTAAATTAGTATTATCAACTGAGTTGATAATGTAAATTGGCCACCATAAAGAGTCTAAAAGCTGATGTTTCAAGCCCTTCCCCAGAGCAATGGACAAAGGGCTAATGCTCAAAACGTCAGCTTTTAGACTCTTTACGGTGGCCAATTTACATTATCAACTCAGCTGATAATACTAATTTACCCTGTTATACAGAGTTAGAGCATAACATGTCATAAATCTGAGACAGCCACCAGGCCACAAGAACTGACCTCTCCTACTTATGTGAGATCAGAATAGAATAAAAAATATAATGTACACAATTCAGTTGTGCTCTCACCCAATAGGTTTTTTGGCAGCATGAAAATCATTGATACATTTTGCAACTTCTTCATTAACTGTGCAGCCTGCACCATCCACAGCAAAGGAACTCCTGATAAAAATACAAACACTGCATATTATCTGTTTTGTTCAAAAATAAAAATTAATTATCATTACTACTAATATAAGTTAATTATTATAAAACATCTTTCCCACCAAGGAGCTTCAGCACCCTAATAGTTAGCTTACAACTCCATACTCTCCTCATGCTTCACTAGACATTTCCTTTGGTATTGACAAGGAGATTTCATTTAACAATCAGAGCTTCTTAGGTGATTTGTTAATAAAATATTACCTTTGAATATTTGTTTTAAATAAAAAATGGAATTCATCCCATGAATCTTTTCCTCCGGATGTTGCAGTGAAAAATATGAAAAATCTATAATCATCAGTCTCTGGACTTACAAATTCTTTGCTGCTCCAAATCCTCCTGGAAAAATGACAGCGTCATGGGAAGCAGCATCGAGATTGGCAAGAGGAGCGATCTTCCCTCTAGCTATTCTGGCAGACTCAACTAAAACATTCCTGAAATCAAAAAGCTATTAACCCTTTAACTCCCATTGATGATCAAGACACAATTTCCCCTTACAGTATCAATACTATATCAAGTAGACAAGTGATAGGAATAAAGAAAAATATCAACTAGGGGAATATAAGTTGATTCGATACCAAATTCTCCAAACTTACATCATAAGAATTGTATGGCAGACAGTAAGGAGAATTACTATTAAGTTCTTGGGATTGAAGGGGTTTATAAAAAGCTAACAAGTGATGCTTACTGAAACTGATCAATACAAAGCACTTTCAGTCTTAATTCCTTTTGTGGTTCCTTTACATCACCCATAATTTAGAATAATACATTGATTCTACCAAGACTGAGGAGATATCCTGAGTTTTTATTGGTTGAATTTAACTGTTCTTAGAAAGACGTCCCAACAAGAAAATTTTAACAACAAAAAGCCAAAAAGCTGGGGAAACTACATGTCAACTTGAATCAACTAACTGGTGCAAATATTAAGATTTGATACAAACTGTCAAAATAAATTTATCAAAAGCCATCTCAAGAACTGATATGTTACCATATGCCTTTTGAAAAATTTATTTGTGAAACAATTTCTCCAACTTATTTCCTCTTCCCTTCTTTATTCAATATTCTTCTCTTATCACAATCATGTGATAAGTTAGTAATCCGTTACCGTGTCTCATTCTCCATTACTTCTCCTTCAGCATGATTCAATACATGCATCTGTGGAATATCTGGTGCATACATGCTCACATCATCCCCAGCTCGGCTCAGGTGGACCAGTACCCTTATGTTAAGAGAGAGAAATATTGTATTAAATCACCTGGAACAGTGCATCTACAAAAACTGGGGCCACCCAGACCACCAAACCAAGTACAGGACAGAATTGAAACAACAGAGTTTACTTCCAATTTAGCCATTCCAAAAATGCCCTGACAATATTGCACCTAACCTTTATTGTTACATAATAACTATGACAACTAAACAACCCAGGGTTTTCAAGAGATTTCAAAATGGCACAAATCTATGGGTTAGATTTCATGAAAATGGTACAGGTTATAATTGTGCAGTAAGCTGGTCGGAGGTTTACAGCATAGATTGGCTTTATATATTTAATATATATTATAGCTAAAATTATTCATATTCAAAAATGGTCTAATACGTAAATTATCTACAATTGGCGACAAATTGGTGACACATTGACCTTTTGGACCCCTCCCCCCCCACCACAGTACTTTAATGTTATCTCTTTTGCCCTCAAGTAACTTAACCTATTCATCCCCTCCCTCCCAAAAATATTGGATTGTCATTCCAGGAACTCTTACAGAAGTTACATACAGGCAACCTTGAATGGGTAAGGGAGGGTTTAGATCAATGATTCATGGCATGGTGTTAATAATAACAACAGTGGTGTTATTCAATGATTCATGGCATGGTATTGACAATAAGTCAACAGTGGTGTCATACAACACATAAATGATAAATAGAACTGTTCAAACAAGATTTGCCAGCTACTTTTGATGCAGATTATTGATCTTCAGGGAAAATTTACATTATTCTCTAATACATAGCAGAAGACTTACGCTGAAGCCTCATGAACTTCTGCACCATCAAAAACTCCATTCCCAGATAGCACCTATAAAATGCATGAAACAGTAAATTTTTTTCTTGAAAAAGAGTTTGTCATCTGTGATCTATAACTGAATATATAATAAGTTGAATTATGCATACATTTTTATTGGTTCTTATTAATGATTTAGTGGAGTACATATGCACAGATGCCTCACCATCAACATTTTTCTTTTTATCATAAAAAACAAATAGAATCCAAGTTGTGGTAAGAAAATAAATGTAGCACACAAGATTCAGCTGAGTATGTCACAGATCTAAAACTGAGCAGACATTATGCATGGTAACCCAAAATCAATTTGCAAAACAAATGGAAAGCACAAGGAATCTATTTGGTTAACTTTATTGTGAAAGCATTTATCTTTGATAGAAATGGAACCTTTGAAAAAGAAAGAAAAAAGGTGTGCAATTTATTCACTATATGATATGTAGGTACAGTTATATCAACCAATGAAATCACTGATCAGTAAAGACGCAACAATAATAAACATAGCGAATATAAGTTGATAATGCCAATCAAAAACGATAAATATCTCACATTTGAGTGAGTATTATAATTAAGTTTTTACTATTGGTCCAACGATATTTTATATACATATACTATTTTTTAAGAGATAAAAAAAATTGCACAAAATGATTGATTTTCGTGTTTTCTTTGAGGTCCACTTAATTTACGCTGTTTATGATTCTTTCAAAATTCAAAATTCATTGTACTAACCACAGCAACTGACGCACGAGACGTTGAACCCGTGGAAAATGCACAATACGCTTGAAAAGATCGACATCTTGCTAAAGATCGCACCGCAGATAGACCATATGCAGCCATCTTGATTGAAGGGTCATGCAAAATGTAACAGGCGTTGATAACAAATACCGATAAATCCTGGTTACGATTCTATGAGCCCGCCATCTCATCGCCCTCGTCAAAAAATTAAAGATGGCGGCCACTAGGGTACCGAGAGTGTTCTGTGGATCTCCACTGATTTCGCTAGCACTGAAAAACACAAATAACTTTTTAGCCCCTCTGCGTTCGTTTACAGCCGTCTTAAGTCACAGTTTTCACGTAAGCACGTCAGGTAAACGTGATTCATTTTCAAGTGATGCATTGTAGCGAACGCTTAACTCTTAAATATAAGGCCACTTATTTATGTCTCTTTGATTCATCGAATCATATTAGCTGAAAATGGTTTTTCATTGCAGATAGCAAACAGTATCACAACACCCGGAGAAAAAGGATGCTTCGCCGGTTTAAATTGAACCAGTTACAGGCGAAACTAGAGGTATGTGTATGACAGGACAAGCATGGAATTTTTTCAGTTGCACTTCTGTTGATAGTATACCGCATTATTCCTTAGTTTCGTTACATCTCGCCTGGTTTATTTTCGTTTCGTTTCGCAAAATAGAATAAGCCACTTCTGTTCTTAGTAGGTAGTTTGAGGAAACCTTTAATTTTATGTCTGGCTCACAAGGAAACCAGTCCACTGACAACTGTTTCTCCTGGTATGATTGTTTTAAAACTTACAAATTACGACCAGTGTGAAGTAGTTGATGACTTGCTTACAAATTGGTGGTTGTCAACTATAAGATAAGTTAAGAAGTTGGGTAAACCACAGTGCAAGTTTGATACAGCTGATCTCACATGCATCAGTCGTTTGTTGGCACCAATTGCTATTGCTTCAAGAAGGGGATGACACTAAAAACAGCAGATTTTGAGAACGAGCTAATTTGCCTTACCAACCTCTACAAACTTACAATATTATTTGACAATCAACCAAAGCTGCACAGAACTTCATAGGTGATAAAATATTTTAATGTGATCTTGAACATGAGTGATAAAATGAATGATCTTTTATAACAAAATACAAATGAAAACAAGAAGGATAAAAAGTAAAACTAATTTAAATATTGGAAATATAAATTGTCATTTGCCCTCTTACTGTGCTATAAGATATTAAATATAATTAATTGAGTACTTAGGTAGTAATATTGAATCAGAACAGTTGAATAGATTTAAGTGTGATGTGATAACAATCCCACAGATGTAAACTCCATTTTTTTTCAATTGTTCCTCTTTATTTTGATCAGAGGTTAGATGAAGAAGACAGGCCAACTGGCTGTTTACTTTGTCCAATGAGGGGAGATGTGGAAATTGACTACAAAGTAAGTTATTAAATAACCATTACATGGTCTGTAAGAGGCTAAAGTTTAAAATATAAATTGTCATTTTGGTCACAAATTGCAGTCAAGCTTGTGAAGTGCATGTGTGAATAGAAAGGTATTTGTTATATTCTTGTATTTATAATTTATCCTTGTGTACCTACAGAATGTCCGTTTACTGTCCCAGTTTGTTTCACCTCATACTGGTAGAATTTATGGACGCGCTCTTACAGGTTAGTTTGTGTATCACCTACAAAATTAACTATTTTTGTAGCTCTAGACAGAGCTATTTTTCTAATCATAGTTTGCTTAATAGTGTTGTATACCATTTTAGTAACTGCAAAATTCTTGTCTTGGAAGGTTTGTGTAATAAAAAACAAAAGGAAATTGGAAAAAACATCAGAAGAGCTAGAGCCATGGGTAAGGAGTGAGTCCCTTATTTTAGCAGTTAATGCACTAACATCAGTTTGCAAATACTCCATACTGTTCTCTCTATGTTTCTTATGGTACTCTCAAGGATAATTAAGGTAATAATCAATAGCATGTTGACCTCATGATCATTTCTTTTAATCTCATGACCTTAATGTTTTATTCAGGAGTGATACAGTTGGGAGAAATTAGATGCTCATCACTCTTGGGCATTAAAGGGTTACCTGTGACTGCTTGTTTAGAACTTTTTGCTCCGCTTTGAGCAATTCCTTATTTCTTTGTTTGATTGTTTTCAGGTTTCATGCCTGTTACCATGAAGTACCTTGACTTCCATGAGGACCCAAAGTTATTCTAGCAGCATTTTAGAAATAGTTTTGGCCCTGGTTACACCTACATTACTATTTTGTAAATAAAATCAAAATTAATAGTGACCTTGGTATCTTTTTGTTGAACTCGACTCTTTTGACAAAGTATTGAGGGCATGTGGGAAATATATTACTACATAATTGTTTCACTTGCATCTGCTAAACCAGGTTTGACCACTCAAAAAAATAATTTTGGGGGGTGATGAAATAATGAGGATTAGAATGCACCACTAGCAACAGCTGTATGTGGTAGATACAAAATATTAGTTGCGATATAAAGAGTTATAGTCTCATTATCTGGTAAAAACAAGCATTTCAGCCGCAAACAGTGTCACTCACTCTTATGACCAGCCTTTAATTTCAAGGAAAATGTATGATTTTTCTGCCCCTTGTAAGTGGAAAGGTTCAACTCTAGAGAGGATGCAAAATTGATTTGTGTATCAGGATTGGTCTGTAAGGAAAATCAGAGAACTAAGAGGAAAAATTTGCAAAACAAGGTCGGAACTAACAACAAACCCAACCTTCACATGAAGAAAAGTCCATTATCGATCCTGAACAACGTCACAGAGAGGCAAACACATACATAATGGCACCCTACTCAGTTCCTAGAAATCTATTGATTGAAGCAATGTGCAGCTTTTTCAAAAATTATCCTGATTATTTCCAGTCCTGTATGGGCTGAACTGGAGACAGGTGTGTACATGTGAAATGTATATCAGGGAGAAAGAGGATGGGTATGAACGCCCTGGGAAAAAGAAATTAGCTCTGCCAAGCAATGCTTTTTTGAGTCAATTTTTTGTAGATAATATAATCAGCTCTGTTTTAATATTGCAATATAAAATGAATGTGTGACAAGTTTGTAGTCAGTACATAAAACATGCAAAATTTAAAATATCTTTTGCCCATAAGTGGTAAATCTGTATTTAAAAAGAGACTAGTGATTCATTATACAGGTCTTAATAATACACAATCTCTTATTTGCAATAGTTGAAAAACTGCATTGTTTTGTTCTAAATATCACCCATGCTATTAATATTTAACAGTAACCATGTCTTCAATAGGTAAATTAGAGTTATTCCTGTATTATGAATGTTTCAACTGAGCTGTCCCTGAGAAAGCTATGTTCAAGGTTGAATGCAACTCTGCTAAAAAAAAAAATTAAAAAAAGGAAGCCTATCAAAATATTTGCCAGGCTATGAATAAATAGGAATTCATGAAAAAAAAAAAAAAAAACTGTTCATCCAGTTTGTAATAACTGTATGTAATACAGTTAACACATTACACTTTTATGCTTTCAGGGAAAGATAAATGGGTGAAGGGTAAGTTCCTTAAGAAACTGTGGTGCTGTGTTGGTTTTGTTTTATGTCTGTAGATCAAATTTTTATTTGACCCACTGTTTTGAGTATTGAAATGTGACAATGAGCACAAAACACAGAAAAATAAAATCTCAAGCAGTTAGGATTGAAATATCCACTGATATTATTTAGTGAAGTACATGCTTGTAGCGCTTTTAACAAATTTCATAAACTTTGTAGAAAATTTGGAAAACTACTGTCAGTAATAATCATGGTTGCAAAAATCTTAAGCAGGCAAGTGATAGTTTTCTCTAACAGATCACAGGTGAGATTATTTTCTTCCTGGAGGGTTGATTCCCTAGAACCTTAAACAAAGCCAGGACTTTAATGGTTTTTATCTTATAAAAAATGTGTTAACTGGCTAAATAAATGTAGTCCTAATTATTTCAGTACTGTTGTACTGAAGGATAGTTTAACCTGCAGTTATTATGAAGAGTATCATTCAAACTTATTTTGAGAGAGATGTGCAAAAATAAGATTGTACAATTACGTGACTTGTGAAATTTAACAAAAAGTGTCCTATCTAACTTTGTAGACAAACCCCTTACTACCCCTGTATCTGCAGTTTGCTAAGCAAAGTTTTCAACTGCAATGATGCTAATAACTGAAGCCAATTGGACAAAAACTGACCAATCAAAAGAATAGCTAAACAGAAAACATTGAATTGGGATGACATAGTTCTACTTAAATTTTGAGCTAATCTTACACCACACTACAAACTCATTCCTATCAGTATCAAACAAAGTTACTGACATAAGAACAACAAAACCTATTTCAACACATGGTTTTAAGCTAGCATCCAAAATATCTATTCTTTGTATATTATAACTTTTCCAACATACATGAATGCCATCAATTCATTCACAACTAGGTTTCCCATCAGTTTTTGATTGATCAGTTTGTTATTTTTTAGAGCAGCCTCATTTTAGTGTAACATACAGTGTAATAGTTTGTCTCCATAAAACACATTCACTTAGTCTGAGATCACACACTTGACTGTGTTGTTGTTGATCATGGCCTATTAATCTGCAATAACACAGCAAACTTGATTCCCTTCTACATAATTTTTGATAAAAGAAAAAGTCAATTTATAGAAACACATGCAATGAGGAGGAAGCAAGTTTTACCTTTGTATATCAACTTAAAAAACATAAGAATACAGTTTGTGGCAATCTCTCTGTGATTTTTAGAATAATAATATTCATTTGTTTAATGGACAAAGGCCTAACTATTCATAATTATTATAAACTTAGACCAGTAAATGTGTTGCAAGGTATTATTGTATCAAAAGTTTATACAACATAAGAATCTTTAAAATATCTTCCCTGCTGTCAGAAAACTGGTGACGACGTCTCCATTGCAAGATTTTGAGAGAGTTTTTCTTCATAGTCTGGTCCACTTCCTGTAATTTTATCCTCTATAGAATATGGCTGTGTTTCATCATCTGTGACATCATCATCGTCGGCCACTACTGGCTGAACATAACGAACAACAACTCTAGCAGGGGTTCTTTGTTTCCGCCTTCTGTTAAAACTGGGAGAGTTCACATTTGGTGATCCTTCTGCAGTGGCATCTGTATTTTCCTCAGAAATTCCTTGGTCATTTTTCTCTCCCAATTCACTATCACTAGCTGCAACAGAAGCTATAGATTTGTTATCATCACCAGGCAAATTTGATCCATGTGTTTCAAAAGTTCTTTCTGCTTCTTCTTTCTCCTGGTTGGATTCACTTAATAGAGAAATAGGCTGGAGAGGCCGTTTTTCATCCACTTCGTAGGAAGCTGTTACAATAAAAAGTAGAGTAGTCCCAAATTAACATCTGTATGACATGAGTGGGGTTAGTTTTAATTTTGAGTCTTCCACATGTTGCTGTTCAAAACAATTAAATGGAGCATGGATCAAACAAACTCTGCAACCTTTGATTTACTTAGCAACATACTTGTAGTTGTAACAATTTTCTACCCCCTTAATTAATTTATTAAGTAGTAAAAAGAAGCAGTGATGTTTCAGTTACCATTTTTCCTTGAAAGGTCCTTACGACACTCTTCCAGTTCCTTTCGTCTATTTTCTACTTCTTCATTCAATGAAGACACAGTGGTTTCACTACCTTTTACAACTTCAACTAAATTCTTGGGAGACAAAATAAACTGCTTACCTCATGAAATTAAAAGCACAAGCAAAATTTTCTATTGTTCAAAGCAAATCCTGAGGGAACCCCTCGAAAACACTCAGTGTACAGGTATGTTCTATACCTAGTGTACAGGTATTTGCTGCCCAATGGGGCCAAGGTATTGAACTCCTACTTTAGCACAAGGTGTCCATTTAAGGGACATTTCCCTGAGGAGGATGCGACATTTTGAGCACAGAAAAACCATCTTTTGTCACACAAACGGCTAAAATTTCTCCAACAAGGGTTCAAATCTGAGCTATTTTTAACATGATGTATGATTTTGGGTGTGAATTCTTTCTCAATACAGCTCCAAATTTGAAAATCAGGGGACACATGCCTACACAAAGCAGACCCAAATGCCAACCCCATGGGTAAAACCCTCCCCTAACCATATGCTTCATTCTGTAATCAAATTGTATTACCCTGAGAACATTTTCTCAAGATTCTTTAAAATATCTTAATAACTTACTAACTATGTTAGTTTGTGGCTATGTAACAAGTTATGTTTTGTTATAAATCCATCATCAAATTGATGGATAACATTTGTCCACTAATGTCTTATACTTATATGTAAAGTCAACAATATTATACTGCTTTTATAGGTAAAACATCTTTTACTGACAAATAACTAACAGCAAATTAATAAGTAGAGCTCTAAGAGGGCAAACAGTTGTTTTCACAGAAGATTCTGAGTCCCAGGGGAAGGAAAACATACATAATTTGCAGAAACCTACAACCCACACAATTGTTCAATCTTCCAGCACTTTACCCATGTCAATCAACATCTATTGGCAACAACAAATTTCAACCCAGAATTTAAAGGAGAGTATGGTGTTTCCAATAAAATTGATTAACATAAAAGTTTTTACAAAAGTCAATCAATGTCTTAACAAGAGTCATCATAAATGATGGGGTGAAGATCTGCATGGGTTTTTGTGCTACAAACACAATGTACTTGATAAGGTTTGACTAGTCCTTTGCACAATTATGTAAGAATCCCTGTTTAGCAGCCCCTCCCCCTCCACTGTCAAGGGAACCTAAATCATCAATTTAACATACAAGATACTTTAAATTCACACCTGCAACCTTTTCATCATAGTTATGTACATGCCGTGCATATTGGAGGACTGTTGTATACATCCTTTATTGTCAACAAACTCATTTCTGTAAGAAATAACAGATCAAGTCTTAGAACCAGTATCAAAATACCTTCTCACTAAACATCCAAGACCTAAACTATTTGTCTGATTCATATGAAAATGATTAAAAAGTTGTCAAGTACATTTCTCATACCTAAAAATCCTTAAACATAAAATTAAATAAGTGTAAAATTGTGATTTCTAAAGCCTGCGGTATTGATCATCTAAGGCCTAAAGCTGTCACATTTTGTTTTTCAAGTGTAATTTCTGAATCAGCATTTTCTTACAAATTTGACATTGATCACTTCTGCAACAATGGTCTTACTATTAGAAAAAGGGTAGATAAATTTCACAGCCTTTTATTATGTTAAATGTTTTTTTCTGTGAGAACTTATTTTTCAGATCAATGGCTACCCACAAAATCCCAAAAAGGATGCACAAGCTACCCATATGATTAAAACAAATAAATTAAGCAATTATTACATATTATATAAAATGGATTGCTTAAGTGAAGGATTCAAGTATGTCTTAGGAATGCAGTTATTCTGATCTTTAAATAGCAGCATTCTAGGTGATGTACAGTACACTTTATCTGTGCTTGTTACCTGTAAGAGTCTATCACTTCATGAAAAAGACTGGACGTGGCTTGGGCAGAGTGACAGTTAAGTCTATACTCAGAATGTGATGTATCTCCAAGGTTTAATATCTGTACCTGAACTGGTTCGAAAAACCTGTGGGGAAGAGTGTGACTACAACATTAAGAAAGATGTCCAGAAACAAACTTAAAAAAGGGAAGCCATAAACTTCCATCTCTTCTCAAAAATCACTATGAAGGAAAGCTGGGGGGCCACACAAACATGATATTTGACTCACGATCAGGAGTTCACTACAGCCAACAGTTACTTGCACCAACTCACAAGGTTCAACATTTAGGGTCTAGTTGCTCATGGTAGTTTTTCTTCTCTTTCAATTTTGTCACAACAAAAGTTACATGTACATGTAAGAAACTGCCTCATATTTCTACAGCAAGTGTTACTTGAAAAAAAGTTAATCAAGTTCTCACTCTGTATTACACAGCAACTGGAGCAACAGACACAAACAAAATTTGCAAGGGATATTAAACTGAGCAACTTCTCTGCAACTTGTCTCACTGTGAAGCCAGCCATGTGTGGTACCTATAACCATTTACACCCTAACAACAGTATGTATATTCCCCATACTGTTCTCTATACATTTCTTAAGGAGCTGACAGAGAGAATTTGTTTACCAATCTAGAGCCTCTTTAGTTGGTGACCAGTAACAGTGGTGATGCTGTATAAACTAAGATAACAGTTTTGTATGTCCAAACAACTGTTGAGAGAGCATTTAATTCATCTCTTACAGAAAATTTAGTCCAGCAAACAAAACAAGCCATAAATATGTGTATTCCTCCTCTACATACAGTCCAGTACACTTACAGTATATCAGGTAAGCAGGAGTCATTGCCAACTACCTGACTGTCCTTTTAGCATTACTGATTGATATGTAATTTCACAAGTTTTAAAATACATTTTGCAGAAAATATCTCCCTAAAAAAATCCAAAATTATTATAATTCAGACATACCCTTCTCTCTCAGCAGAACAACAAAAGCAGTAGTCAAATTTGTGTGAGGACAGATCCCTGGACATGTGTGATGTGAAGATTGCTAAGAGGAATTCTTTAAGAGGAAAAAATGCTACCATTAACATCATTTTATGATACTATCTACATTAAAGAAAACTGTATCTGTTGCAGTTGAGAATAATTTCAGCTAAAATGATTTCGACCCAAATCAATTTGTGCTTTTCATTGTTAAAACATTATGATTTGAAACTGATTTACCTAAAATATGTTTAGATCACAACACAGTAATTACTCAATTATATTTGTTCCTTTTTTTTAATGTCTTGTGTACACTGCTCAGGTACCATAGAGGGCTTTGACTACTTCCACAAAAGAACAGATTCCACCATAATATAATGAGAAAACTTGATAACCTTCATGTTTATGCCCTACTCCCATGAAAGACACAAGTAGTTATAAACATTTGCAAGTCATACAAGATCAAGTTGTTGCCATATCCTTCAAGAAGTCAGCAAATTCTTCAAAACATGTAAATGGATGGAGCATTAGAGCAGGGAAATTATAAAACCAGGGTATCACTAAAAAGTGTGATACAACTAGATTTAACCAGAAAAATGCAAAGTCAAAAGGATTTTTTTTTCCAATCAAAAGGATGGAAAATTTCATCATACATGTAGTGCATTTTTATCCACACCTTTGGAAGGGGTATAGTTGAGCTTTGCAATGAGATTGTGATGGATAAATCTTTCCCTCATAGACACCTGTCCTTGAGTATTTCGACGAAATGAAAACCAACCAATGACTTTCTGCAATGGCAAATAACAACAAAAAGTATCAATGCGAGTTATCCTGCCTTTAACCCTTTAACTCCCATGAATGACCAAGACATATTTTCTCTTTACAATGTCAATACCAAATCAAGAAGGAAAATGGTGAGAATAAACACAATATCAATAAGAGGGTTGCCATTTGATCTAACACTACATTCTCAGAACTAAAATTGTAAGCAATGTGTTACATATGGTAAGAAGAATTACTTGTACTAAAGAGATCTCTAGAGTGAAAGGGTTATGACAAACTATAGTCTGATTACCAGTAGTTTTGGAGCCATTAAGGTGGTAGAAAGAAATCATATCACCACAAAGTGAGAAGCTAAATTATTAATAACAATTAATAATTATTCCATAAGCAGGCTTGGGGAATATGAGATCATAAATAACAAATCAGGCACATAGTATTAAGTTGGCTATAACTAATCTCATATCCAGCAAGCATGCATAGAATAATTAGTTAATTAAATTTCATTACATCATGAATGTTTGGATATTTGGAGCCTTTTTTCAGCTCCACAATATTTGGCAAAATGCATTTCCATTTAAGGTGATTCAGGATATGAGCTGATGACTGGTGTTGAGTGAACCAATCAGAACACTAGAAATGCAAAGTTGGAAGTAAAATATAATAATAATAGTGAACCCACTATATATTTGGGGTGAATACATGTTCTTTATCATCATAATTATTTTATCATACTTACTTCACTCTTTTCATTATCATTAAGTTCCTTTGAAATAGCTTCCTCTAATATGTGCCCACTATTGGTGTAAAAACTGTTTGTAAAAATAAATAAAGGTCATATTGTTACTAAGATCATTAATCATTACATGGCCATAGCTTGAATTGAGGGACCAGGGCCAGGTTTCTTAAAGCTGGGTTTAGATAACCCAGGGTTAGTGTGAAATTTTATTTCAGATCCAAAAGCTTTAAAAGAATATTCAGGTTAAGTCCATTTGAGTACAATTTGATGATTGAATGCTCTAAAAAGAATTGGGAGAATTATTCCAAAAGGGCTTTTAAACAGAGAAATATAGAAACCTGGATTAAAGTTGAACCCTGGGCTAGCACTAATTGGCTGAAAAACTGGGCCCAGGGATACAACTCATTCCTTTTTTCAATTTCTTTTAGTTCAGGAAAATTTTCAGGCATGTGACAAGATAGTTACATGGTTGGTAAGCATTTAATTCCTAAGTTTTGCAGTTTTTTTTTTGAGAAATAACAAGATAGATTAGCTTGACATTTTACTTCCAAATACCATGCTTAAAAAAAGTCAATTTCAAATGCATTCAACTGTTTATTTTTTCTGCAGGTGAGGAGGTTAGAGCTTTTTCCACTCATTATATATATACTTTTTAACATAAGTAAACTTCCAAGGCCTGAAGTGGGCAAGTATAAGTGTTATCAATCTAATTTATTTGAAATCATTTGGTCATTCTAAATTTATTAGTAACAGTAACTCTCCTGATCAATAAGGGGGTAAGTTTCTAAATAAACTGTAGAGCTGCATCAGTGGGGTATTGCAAAATTTTTTTTGGTTTACCAAATGAGTTGATAGTATAAATTGGCCACTGCAAAGAGTTTTAAAACTGACGTTTCTAGCTTTAGCCCCTGACGTCAGTTTTAGAAACTCCCTTTCCTCATCATGCAGGTATGATTTGAAAAGTTGTATTACCAACTTTAGTTTCGTTGTGTTAATTATGTTAAAATCCCAGCGATGAGACGTCCTTGTTTGTTATTAAACTACATAATACCCTTAAAGTTAGCAAAGCATGTGGCAAGTGTAGCCTTGTTCGTATGAATTTAATATACGCATAATTGCAAAATTACCACCTCTGTCAACAGTCAGTCACTTCCGCTAAATTCCTGATCGTAATCTAACTACTTACCTGTGAACTTTGCCAAAAGGAACAAACCCTTGAATCGCTGTAAGTGGAGTACATTAAAAGAGTTATTAACACAAACAATTATCCTGGAGGAAAAGAACGGTAGATAATGCAAACAAATGCGGAACTTACTTGCAACTCGCTCGTGTGTCAAGTTTTCGGATTGTGAATCTGTGATTGTGTTGGTGATACGGCTTGTAATTTGGCCCAATAGGAGCCCCTCCTAGCAAGATAGGATTAAAAAAACATAAACTGCAGCTCAAAATTATTTCGAAAATCAACATTACTGCACTCACGACATCTCCTATGCTATTCTCTAGTTCGTAGACCAGCGATGAGAACACACAACCAGAAACATAAACCTCCATCTTTAATCAATTAGCTACACTAGATTTAGAAGTACATGACGAGGATTTTCGGAAGTGTAAAAACCACTGTCCTTCACAATTCCTCGATTGCAGGCTCAGTATCGCACTGTTTGATTAATATTTTTTTTAACGTTTTTTTCATATTTTGCTTTTATTTGCTTCTGGATTTTTTCTGCTTTCAATTAATCTTCTTTTATCTGGAAGATGCACGAAGTCACATCACAATCGACTAGACGCACATCCTTCTGACTTCTGCCAAAGCTAAATAATCAAACAGGTTCCATGTGGATCTAAGTTAAGATTTTACATGGAAGGATTCCTGAATTTCTACTCACTTTTCTCCATCCCCATTAATCTTTTATTTGGTATCTCGTTCAGAAGACAAAACCTATCACCTCCGAGCCCATACACGAAGATTGGCATCAGTGCCGAAGTCGAAAATTGTAAAAAATTACCCAAAAACTCAGTTCGAATGTATGATTTCTCTTCTTTCCCTGTAATTCGCCTAATAAAAAAACTACACCCGTTTTTTAATAAAAAAAAAAAAAAAATGAACATATCCCTTACGAAGGTAAAGAGCTTTTAAGGCCGATTAGCGATAACCTAAGGTTAAATTTTAAACAAGGTTTCTTTATTTCTTTGTTCCAAAGCCTTTTCGGAATAATATTCCCTATTCTTTTAAGAGCTCCAAGAATCAAATTCTTGACAAACACACACACACACACACACATATATATATATAGCGTTTTCTTGGCTTTTATTTAGGATTGAGATAAAATACAGAAAATCTAACTTCAACTAATTGCAAAATGAATTACTCAGAATTATGGATAACAAATCTGTATGTGACCCTTTTTTTCGGTTTATTAACCTCTGTTGTACTTTAAATAGGTTTACAATATATTTGTTCAAAACTTACGGCTAATTCATGACATTATTTCTTACAATCATATAGATGCATAAGCTACCACGATTTTAACATGCACAAAAATACGGGAGTTATTGGGTGATAACTGTCCAGTAATTTTGCACCACGTGACGTTAAGTAGCCACCGCAATCGCGTGATATAAAGTGGGTGAGTTATGCATTTAAATCACAATAAATTTTGTCTTAAAGATGTACAATGTTTTTATGCGTCGTTGTGGATTCGCTTGTGGCGATTAAGATTCCCCGACTGGGAAAACCTTTGGTAACAAACATCGCACTGGTAAGGTTTCTCACCGGTGTGAGTGCGCATGTGTTTAGTGAGCGTGGAACTATCCGCGAACGCCTTTGTGCACACACGACATCGATAGGGTCGTTCTCCATTGTGTGTGCGCATGTGCGTAGTCACAGACGAAGACTGCGAGAACTGACGGTTGCAGATGTGACACTTGAATGGTTTTTCACCGGAGTGAATGCGGAAATGCGCCGTTAGATTGGCAGCTTGAGAGAAGGACTTTAAACAAACCAGGCACTGGTATGGCTTCTCTCCACTATGTGTGCGCAAATGCAGTCTCAAGGTAGACAATCGTGCATAAGATTTCCCGCATACGGGGCATTTCTTTGGGCCATCATCACTGGAGTGCTCTCTGGGAGACACTCTGGAAGAACCAATAACTGCTGGGTTTAAGAACTTGTGCATGTAGGGCTGGTATGATCGTAGAAATGGAACACTGCCGCCGCACAGAACTGGTGCTGGTCCGAAAGTAGGTATGCCCACGTGTGATGGTCCGGGAAGGTATGGGGAGGTCAGGGAACTGGAAGGGAACAAGCTGGGTCCGTGATTGAAAGGGAGAAAGCCTGGGGGTAAATGATGAACAGGATGGAACGCAGATCTCTCCATTGCAGAACGATGATGCATCAGGGACAAACTGAAAAAGGAACAAAGCAAAGTTACTTCAGCGGGGGCGTAAGGAGATACTTGCAACACTCTGGCTATTAGATCATGATAATCACACAGAGCACAGGTACACAGAGCACAGGTACACAGAGCACAGGTACACAGAGCACTTTTCGATCCGGAGTGTCGTATAACCAAACCCAAAGATATCACAACAGCCAGCCTCAAGAAAGAAAAATATCGGGAGGAGCCGTTAAGAACTCACCAAGCGAAGTCATTGACGTTCGACACTCATTTAAAAATTTAATCATTCATAATCATCATGTCTACCAAACTCCTTTGGAAAATATTGCCTAAGCTTAGTTCACTGAGGTTTTTTAATTGATTTATTATATCATATAGGCACCGTCATCGTCATCCGCAACAAGGCTCATTACAAATAAAAACCACTCGTTACTTCGCTTCAGTAGACATCAATTGATTCAGTTCCAGATTTTGTTTTTTTATTCCTTTATTTTCTGTTTACTGTGAACCTCCACATAAATCGAAGTTCCCCAATTTCCCCTATGACTGGTTGAAATTGTTCAAAAACCAGTTGTCCCTAAAAATTTCTCTTTAGATAGCTCTTTTTAGGCGCGCTAATAAAGTGTTTTTTTGCATTTCGTTTTGAATTACACGTCAGACGGAGCAAAAACGTAGGAACTGCACGTAGTCTAAATGATAATAATTGAGTAGAACATGAAAATTACCCAAAATTATTTTTTGAGCATAAAGACAATTTTTTTTTAGTATCTGAAAAACCACATCATGCAAAAAACAAAAACATTAGGAAATATTATTCAACTTAATTTACCTGGAGGCGTTAATTAGATAATTACTGAAATCGATTTGAGGTAAACTGACTTATTAGTGACGTTGTTTCTATCGTCAGCTGATTTTTTAAATACTTATATCAATAAATCTATAAATCTATTACGATTTTGCGACTACAATAGTAACCAGACAGGCTCTGAGGTAAAGTTTGTTCGAGCAGGGCAATGCTGAATGAAATTACAGCACAAGAATCGGTGACGGAAAGCTTGAGAGGATCAGAAAGGCTTTCATTTTTTGTTGTTGCGTACAACAGTTAAGCACTAGCAGGCATGTTGTATTTCAAACGAAAGTGCGTTTCTGTTTCTTTCCTAACATTTTCTTTTTCTCTTTTTCTTTTGTTGAATATTGCTTTGGGTTTAAAAATGATACCGCCATTACGGCAACAGCATCAGCAGCAAGAGCTGTATGTTCTTGACCAAATACTTGAATTTCGTAAGATAAATTATTCAACCCAACGATTTTCTACAATCTTCTTTGAAATATCAAATAATACGAGAGAATACCGAATTTTGTTTTCCTCCAGTTCTTGAGTTGATCCTGTAACAGGAACAGGGGGTCTCAATGGGACGATGGCTCTTACGTCATAGAATTGAAATTTTGGCCATTTACGGCAGACAGGTAATTTCTCCCCGTCGCAATTAAAAGAAGAACGTTGACCGTTGAATTTTTTTTACAAGTAACAGTTAAAATTTACCAATTTTTACGTTTAATGGCCAAACGTTTTTTTTTTTTTTTGCCGTTTTAGAGATGACGGTTAGTTAACCCCTTAAAGAACCTTCATGAACAATGTGAACAGATTTCTCTTTCGTTTTCAATAACTAACAACTCAAGATTTTATTCTGACTGACGGCTGTATAGAGGAATCGGAAGAGAATTTAAAACAAAACTTACGGTGCGCTTGGCTCTCCACTGATGGATATCACAGATCCAATATGGGCCTGACGATCGGTTGTCCTTCTCTCGGTGGCAAAATTCTCTTCATGCGCGCCAAGTGACTGTGCGGAATTTCTCACAATGACAGTCTGTTCATTACTCATCCTTGGCAGAGTTTATATCTGTGGAGGATCGTTAATTTCATCAATAAAAAAATCTCTCTATCTTTAAGCTTATGTATTTTTTTTAAACTTCTCAGCAAAGGGAGTGAAAGACAAACATGAGATATTTGGTTCCAAACTAGCCCGTTCATTGAATCCAAATTTTTCCAAATTCATTTCTTTTTCTTTGCGGTAAAGCTTATGCGAACATCAAACTTTGGTCTTACTTCAATTTCTTACTGAGATTAAGTTTCGCAAGGAACACTTCCCTTCGAAAAATTAACGAGTGCTTTAAAAAGAATCAGCCCAAAACAACAGCTTCATGATTTGTTCAACTTGAATCACTTACCAGAAGTTATCTTTTCCTAATGTTTAGATTTCTCTCGATCTGCGCTGTCTAGCTGTCTTCGATTCAAGTTTGACAGAATACTGCGTAGGTAATCTTCGAGGATATTCGCTCTCAGATAATTGAGGATGCCAACCGCTGCTCACTGGGAAGGGCAGTGACTAAGAATAAACGAGAAGTTGTTTTGCACCGCAATATAAAGCGGTTTGTGAAAGGTAATTCGTCATTTAACACGTCTTTTTACGCGGTCATGAGCGGGAAAAAACAATTGATACATGCGCCTGCCCGCCTAATTAGCATTTACAGAACTACCACCTCTTCAATTTAAAGCCAATTTTAGCTTAATTTGTAATTTCAATAGCAAGTGTTTCTATTGACAAGAAAAATACTCAAATCGTAAATAACGGGACGTTACCACCCATTTGGAGCCCCGCCTTGGTGCTTTTCGAGTACCACTTTTTTGTGTCACTGAAAAAAGATGCCAAACTCGAGCCGCTTAGCGGGCAAGCCATCATTTCTAATTTGAGGAAATTTGAAAAACAACAATGTATGATCGAAAACGCCGACAGGCCTCTTTGTTCTACGGTAAGTAAGACGAAAACCAACATGCGGCCAGTAAAACACACTTCACTGGCGAGGCTTTATGCTAATCTGTTTCGTATCTGTAGCTAACTCGAAAATTCTTTGTGGAGTAAGTGTTGCTTTGAACAATAAGCTAGACCTACCGTTTCGCTGTGAGGCCTCTTAAAACAACTCCTTTCAACTCAAAAGGGTGCAATTAGACTGTTACATGTTGCCACAATAAAGGACGCGACATGGCGTGGTATCTTGTTCTAACGATACGAATTTCCATTGACTTGAAAGAGTAACAAAGTTTTCATTTTCCCTTTCGCCGGTGCCTGAAATCTTTGTGCCGACCGTACGATTTCTAGATTAGAAAACTGAAGAAATAAAAACAGCAGTAACGCGACTTCAAGCATAATTATACAGGACATGATAACTCAAAACAATGAACACAATTGGAATAGTTCTCTGCTCAGTTGAAGACAGCACCAAAATAAAAAGATCACTTATTTTGTAAATTATGTACGTGCGTTTTGCTGAATTAACCACCAGTAAAAGTTAAATGGTAATCATTTAAGCAACAGTTCCTCGAATTGGGTTTAAGTGGCCACAAACAACTTGTTACTTTTACCAGGAAAGTGATAATTGAACATTATATTGTTCAAGCGACGAACCAACACGTGTTTGTGGCTCACTTCACACGCGCCAATAATTCAGATTTTTAGCTCGCGATAAATAAATAAACAATGATCTGAACCCGTTTCTTTAGGATCATTAGCATGTTATTTATCGCCATAAAATTGTCATTTGTGTTTGCTTGTTCTTGACGAGACAATAAACATAACGTTTTGGTTATGATCACCTCTCCACCTGCTTGAAAAGTCGGAAACATGATAGACCCGACACCGCTCAAGGCATAGGTTGCTTGGTCAACTCATTGTGTCTAAACTTTAAAGCTTTTTCTTCTATTCAGAAGTCCACGGATAAATCGCATGAATTGTGCCTTGTAGATTTTAGTGTTTACAGATTCTCCATATTGTCCTTCATCGGCAAAAATCACTCCCCGCAAAATAAGAAAGGTCCCGCAAAATCACACGCAGCAACAATTTAACACCTTCAGTTGAATGAAAACTCTTCAAATGGATAAAGTGGTCATTCGTATACTTCGAATTTGAACTTAATCGAGATCTCCTTCTATCGAGTTATATATATCCTCTGTTCAAAAATTTGAAAATATAAATTATCTTTCCATCATAATGTTTAGCTACTTGATCAGAAAATCACAAAAATTAATTCCTAACAGAAAGTTCAGACATTTCGAATTCCGAAAATGTGTTCCGCCAAACACAAAAACGACTATGCGTGGAATAGCTTTCTCGAAAATTTTGATGCCACTCGGTCAGTTTAAATTGCTTTCTGCGGTCATCTTTTCATTTGAATGATAGGTTGGATGAGAACTCTCAAAAAATCAAACAAGCAAAGGAGTGAATCATACTTCTATTTGGCTCCAACGTTAATCTAGGGCAACAACATTCAAGTTCCCCCGTTTTATACACAGTTCTCGCACTAGCAAAGAAGTTTTATGACGAACAGGAACCTTTTTTACGTTACATTTTAGCAGTTTCTTGCAAATTATTTGGAGATCAAAATTTAGCCTGTTTATGAAAACGGAAAGTGACTGGGTTGATGGTCTACTCAGGAAAGTTATAATAAGCACTCTTTAAACAAAATACAATTTTCTTTATCTATCCATTCTTGAATGGATGTTTTTTCTAGTTTGAAAGCCAAAATCGTGCAACACCACTGATACAAAACATTACTGAAGCAAAATGTACTGGGTCTTTTGCTGTTGCTTTTAAGCTTTAAGCCGTTTTGGCTGACTGATTTGAGTAGTTGAAGGCCATAGAAAAAATGCGATAATTTTAACTATGAAGAAAACACCTTAGTTTTCCTTCATCGAGAGTGAAATACTTATTTCCAATCAAAGATAGCCGATGAAGCAGCTGAAAATTTTAAACAAACAGTTAGCAATTCTAGCATGAGGAAAATTTAGGTTGCGTACGTGTGAGCGTGTGAATACGACCGTGAACTCGGTAAGACAGTGTTTAAAGCCCCTTTCTTAAAGTGGTCCTGGCATATGACAAAGTAATTGCATTTCAGTGGCAACCATCTGTTATTAACGTTAATTCTTTGCTTGCGCGCAACTCAATTCCCTTCAGCTTCGAGAAAATTACATCATTAAGCTGTTTAAACAAATTTGTTATTCCTTTGGTTTGCAGTCGCAAGGAGTGGGGTCCGAAAACTATTCTCATCATTAACTGAAAATTCCAAAATTTAGCAGGTATGGTGGGCCGACTTACCATGCGAGGGACATAGAATGTTTTTTTTATGAGATAACGTGCTAATACGTTCCATATTGTCACCGTTCAGCTCGGACGCGATGAGATTGCATTGATTTTTTTCTTTTTAAGTGAAACGCTGGTGAATGTGCAAATGATCACAAAGTAGAGTACGTTATACACTTAATGGATTACCGACTAGGATATCAAAAAAGGGAGAGAAACTACCCTGGTGAATTTTGGAGAGCTGGCGTTTCTTTGTTTGCCTTTTCGTTGAATTTAATTTTTAAATTCATAGGTATCTGATTTGGAATCAAACTAGTCTCTGGTTACATAGGTTCTTAGTTAACCTTCATAACGTGATAATTCATTATTATCAACTGAGTTGATAACGTAAATCGACCAGCTTAAAGAGTTTCAAAACTGACCTTTCGAGCGTTAGCCCCTCGTCAGGGGAATGACGAAGGGCTGACGCTCCAATCGCCACCTTTGAACTCTTTGACAAAGTACTAACGCTCAAAACGTCAGCTCTGAAACTATTTACGGTGGCCAATTTACGTTGTCCAATCAGTTGACAATACTTAATTACTCTGCTATACTCTTCCACAGACGCAGCACCACAGTTTCTTTAGAAACTTACCCCCTTTCTACATAACGTGGGCAATGACATGATAAATGCTCATTAGCCATTCAGTTTTCGATTCGACCAACATAATTCAATGAGGCTACTGAGACAAATTTTATAAGGGATACGCACCGCCATTTATTCAGGTAAAAATGAATTAACTGTGTACGTTAATTGCCATACGAAAATATCTGAATGAAAACTCTCGTTATATTGCACTTGCCTCAATCCACGAAATACTGCGCTTTCTGTTTGCCTCCTTATCAGGAAAGCTCGTTAATATTGCTTTTCCGCTAACATGACACTAATCAAGGAGCTTATAGAAAGATGTGTGAATGAAATCTTTTCGTGCTTAACTGGCAATGCTTTTGCTGCAAATGTCGTCATTGTAAAGGTCGTTCGAGCACGCGACCTGAGACATAACTGACTGAGTCACTTTGAATTTAATATCTCAACAAAGCGTATGGAATTAAAAAAACCTCATAGAAATAGATAAAGAGCATGGGTCCAACTTATGCTTCCTTTGCTCTTTGAAAAAGGATCAACCAGTTGTGGAAATGGCAACATTGAGGTACATAACTGATAAAATTGAACTCTCTAGATGCTTCGTATCTGATCGTATCCACGCAAACAGTGTAAGTAAAACAGTTAAGAATTTTTTCATCTCTTGTTACTTGTATTTTTGGCAGTTAACAAAATGATCATTAAAGAAAAAAAATCCTTTTTGCCAGTTTGCAGAATTGTAGTTGAAATAATTTGTGACTCCTTTCCTTGTACAAAGATCCCTATTTTCAAACCCCTCCAACTGTCTCTATACTCACTGTTATCTGAGTTATGTATTGAAAAACATCACATGTTGCTATCAATGTATGCATATAAAAGGGAGGTTGGGAGAGGAGCAAGAGGAGTCTGAGAGTGTTGACGTTATAAGAATCACCCATAATTATAAACTGCATAATAACGTAAAATAAAATTTTTGAAGCGAGATTGCCGTTTGCGCACTTCGAAGGCAGCTTGGAACCACACTGCTCAAACTTTACAGCTGTTTGTAGCACAAATTTTGTAAATGATAGCATCTTTATCTAAATCCTTAAAAGAATCTTTTTCTGAAGTTCTCCAGGGGCGACTT